CTCTTCACTGCCTCTTCTGTTCTCTTCCAGAGCCGTCTGCACTTCCTGTAGCATGAAGGTGAGGATCTCCTAGGATCTGCAGGGTCTCTCCCAGCTGGGATGGGCATGGACAGCGCTCCAGCCCCACAGGCACCTTGCCATCACTTCCTCCAGGCAGACCCTGCCCCACACTTTCCAGGCCTGCTCGGCTTTTTAGGAAGCAGTGAGCACTCCATGTGAGGAGGTCGCCCCTCTTGARGCCTCCTTCCTGGGAGTGCCTTCCCCAGATCTGTGGTTGCATTTGTGGCCCGGTGACATGCAGCATGCACCCAGGTGAACAGTGTCGCTCAGAATCCTGTCCGTGGGCCTCAGCTTGGAGACCAGCCCGCTGAGGAGGGCCTCTGCCCACCTGTTTTCACACCCTCCTCAAGTTTCACCCTCGACAGTACCAACTTCCTCCTCCCCGGTGTTGAACACCGCTTGTGTCCAGGGCTCACAGTGCACCCTTCCTGGTGTAAAGGGGCACAGCTCCCACTCCTAAGAAGTCCTCGCTCATGGAGCAGAAGACACTGTTGGGGTGTGACAGGAAGGAGGGCCTGTGGGGCCTGCCACGCCTCCCTCTGTTGCAGATGAAGATGCCTTCTAAGAAGTGTGCACACATCCCTGTCTACACACTGGGTTTTGAGAGTCCTCAGAGGGCACCCGCTGCCAAAACCGCGACGGCGCCAAGGCGAGACGTCTTCCAGTGTGTTCCCTGGCCTGGGTGCTGGTGTCTGTGGTGGTCAGRCTTCTGCAGGGACTTGGGAGCAGGAGCAGGGGTTGGCCTCACYTGTGTGAGGACGCCCCCTGGAGGTGTAGTTCAGATGGCTCTGGAGGGGTGGGGAGGCAGAGTGGTGAGATGGAAACTGAGCTGGGGTGGTCCAGTTCCTGTCCAGAGCCCTTCTGGGATGCTTTTGGCTAGGCAGGTTGCTTCCCCAGGTCTCTGTGGGTTTGTGGTGGTGAAGGGGAGGGGCAGGCAGCAGGAGAGCCTAGGGGACTGCAGGGCCCCYAGGATGTGTGAGCCCTGCTGGCTCCGCAGCCTGACAGCCCCCTCTGGGTCCCCACCCGCCCAGATCCCTGCAGGGGCCTCAGTGGCGAAGTGTGGAGGAGGAGTTCCCCCACATCTACGCCCACGGCTGCACCCTGAAGGATGTCTGCAGCGACTGCACCAGCTTCGTGGCCCACGTCGTGCGCTCCAGCCGCAAAAGTGTGGATGTTCTCAACGCCACGCCGCGCCGCAGCCGCCAGACTCAGTCCCTCTACGTCCCCAGCAACAGGACTCTYGACTTCCAGTGATGGCCCAAGGTGGCCAGGCCTCCGGGAAGGGACCTGGCTCCAGCCTGCTCCAGGCTGAGGCTCTGCTCCCCGTGCTGGGCCCGGCTGCCCGCCGTGCTCCTGAGCTGTGCATGGACATAGACATACCAGATGCCTTTATATAATAAACACACAGCCTATATATTTATACACATGGTTTCCTGGCCCCATCGTTCATTTGGGGCCAGGCTCCCTCCAAGACCCTGGCCGGGTGCTTCCTTTCAGGACTCCTTGGAGGAGCAGGGAGGGGAAGGGATAGATTTTCTCACTGAGAAGGGAGGGCAGAAGGCTCTAGGTGGTAGGGCTCCAGGCCTCTGTTCCAGTTCTTGTCTCCACCTCAAGAGTGAGAACTGGCAGTTTTCCCTCCCC